AACTACTGTATGAATTTAAAATATTTTGATGTCGTTTGAAAGGTATACAAATTTTTTTTTTTAACAAAACATATTTTACTTTTTTTGTAACTTTTAACTTTCATAACTTTTAAATGGTTAATAATATTATCTCCCCCCTCCGGATTGTTAATAGGGGGGCCGAAAGGCGTCGTTTGATACCCCTCCCGACTTTTCCGCACCTTTTTTAGGGGTTGTTACCGCACCCTAGAGAATTACCGCCATAATATCCATTTGCACAAAAAGTTTTATATACCCTTGAAATCAGGAAAAAGGGTGGCCCACGCCCACTTATGCATATTCCCTGGGGTGAAGAAGCGCTATTCTACACTTGTTCTAATAATAATATTATTGAGTCGTGAAAATGTACTATTTAAAAGGCTTGAAGTCTAACCTGATTGTAATGTTGTGAATATTTGGTGGAGTGGCAACACCTGCAATAGGTGTCAAATTAAATATGCTTGTTCATTACAATTTGGGTTTTGGCTATTTGTTATTAAAAAACCTTTGAAAGTGCTATAAATTTCATTTAAATTTAATAAGGAACTAAATCCAAGCAAAAAATCACTATTTATTTGGTGTATTGTAAACAGTTGTGGAATTTGTAAGCAAAATCAACGGTTTTGCCCCCATTTTGAAGACACTCGCCTGAGGAGCCCTGGAGTCTGAGGAGAAAGAAGAGCATAAAGTTGGGACTGTCCGTTTTCTAATGGAAGGGGCTTAGGGGCCACGACCTTTCCCCTCCGCTTCCACCCCAAAAAAGGTGGGCCAATAACTAAACATTTCCCGAAAAACCAACTTAAAATTCACTCGCTCACCTTTAGCAGCTAGCAATCCCAGGTACCAATGTTGAAGAATAATTTGTATGATTAATTACACAAATTATGTCTCACAGCAGCCAACAGGAAATTCCGCAAACCACACTTAATTCAAACATACGGCGAAAACTGCGATGTAAAAAAAAATTAAAAAAAACCACAACACACAAGTAAAAGAAAAAACAAACTTAAAATTCACTCGCTTTCCTTTGGCAGTTAGCAATCACAGGTTCCAATGTTTAAGAATAATTAT